TGTCAGTTGACACGAGTCGTCAGTCCAATCGCTACTAGACAACCGGATGGCCCGCTGCTTAAATAACAGCGTAACTGGTAACACCTGATTTTGTGTTTTCTCTAGTTCTTTCTCGTTTGACTTGTCCTGCAAACTGGCTATGTGTGTACTGATTTGCTTCAATCCACAGATTCTATGTGGATTTAAAAGGAGCTATTTCACGATCAAGGCCCATCAAGGATATTGTTGTTCTCGGTCGTTTCGGGTTGCTGAAGTCATTATTTAGTTGTTTTAACCATGAAAAAACGATCTTCTGTAGAGTTAGATTACGGACAAAGAAAAAGATGATATCAAACAAATTTTATGAGAGAAATCTGATCATAATTTTTTTTGGTGTCTTTTGCAAGCATATGATTACTGAACTTGAAAAATTTGGCCCAACATTTTCAAGTGTCCTGAATCCCGCATTCATTTCCATCCTTGCCATCCGTAACAACAGACGATAGAAAATAGTTTCAATACCTAAATATGGTCTTAAATAACAAAACTGTACCATCGGTTTTGGATTTGTTTCTTAAATAATAGCAAATAGCTCGACATAGTCCCTTAAAAAGACTTCTTATGTGCAAACAAGAGCTAAGAACGGAGGTTAGCAGGTTGTCAAGCTAAGAAATAACTCTCCTATATCCTCTATTCTTGATGAAGGATGAAAAACCTTAACATTTTGTGAAGCTAAAAAATCGCACGAATGTGTACGATAGCAGTGTATGCAGCTGGAGGGAGAGAGGATGGAGGGAGGGGAGGGGCAAGACGGAACCATCTATCACTGATAACCGTTAGCTATCGTTCGGGCCAATGCGAAGAAATCAATTACTCAAATAATATCACACCAAAGTGTCCGCTTTACAGAGGTGTCCGTATATAGAAATTAAAAACAACTGTCCGTAATAGAGGGGTGTTCGTAAACAAGTGTCCGTAATTATCAGTGATATGAAATTAAACACTAGGAAACAGCTTATTGTGAGTATATTGGTCATGGAGATTTAGTTGGACATATAACGTTTCGATTACTCTACTTGTTGTCCTTCAAGTCTCAATCGCTATCCCCCTCAGGCGGGTCGGCGACGAACTGGAAAAGGAAAGTGTAACGACTATAGGAAATACTGGTGTGTATTTTTTCCCACGAATGTTCGTCCTTCACCTGGACAGGTGAAAAAACGTCCAGAAAATGTTCAAATACCACAAATAACTGAGAAAATAATAAAAAAAAGATTTATAAAAAAAATCGGTATACAGTGAACATTTGTTTCAACATCTGAGTGTTGAAACTGAATTTTCCACATGGAAATCACAAGGACTCCAAGACTTCGATCTGCTTTCACGGCGAATCTCTAATTTTATTTGGTCTTTATAGCATGAAGCCCTTTTTTCAGGGCTAGTAGCCTGCTCCTTGCTCCGAGATAGTCAGGTCCGTGAAATTGAGAACACGTGAACACGAAAATAAGAAAAAAACAAAATCAAACAAAAAACTGGAGGCAACTGGGGAGAGGCACCCTTTTTCGAGATCACACAAACTAAGAAATTGGAATTGACAATTCTCTCACTACTGACCCGCCCTTGTACACGAGGCTATACGAAATTGGGATAGACTGGAGGTATTGAGGAGAAACATGCGCGCCAGAGCAGTTTCAACTTCTGTTGAGAACTTTTGTAATTTCTTACCACCAAACTGCTGAAGGTCCATAACTATTAGTACACACCGATAACTTTGCACGGATATTCAGGGCTCAAAGTTTAAATTTGAGTTTGGGAGCACTTGTGCTACCAGATGTAAATTCCTAGGCGCCCTGCCGAAATTTTAGGCGCACAACCGAAAATGTTAGGAGCACAGCTTACAATTTTGGGAGCATTTATTTCAAACAAAAACGTAAAAAGCTTAACAGTGCACGTTTATATGTCATCTTCAGTTTATTACTTTTATTTCAGTCCTGTGATTGATAAAAGACAGCCGACTTGTTATGCAGTAATACTGTTGTGTTTTTTAATACTAATTTCTCTTTTTCACAGTCTGCAAGTGCTTAGTTAGCGTCTCGAGTTAAAATTATCTCATCTTTTGGCTAAAGATGAAGATGAATGCATTGAGAAAGCTTAACAGTACCTGCAGGCCATCAATTCTTTATCTGAGTTCCAGTCTAACCAGTCAAATTAGTCCAGCCAGGACATCTGAAATCTATACACCTTTTTTTTTCTTGGTAGCCGGCTCATACTCTTTTTCGTGGACTGTTAATGGATTTTTTGAAGCCGATTCACTTTCTGTGTTTAAAGGCAGAGACCCCGGCTGTTTATAAGGAATCATTGTTATACAAATGAGTATGTCGAACGAGAATGAAACCAGTCAAACTTTAATGAATGTGTTAAATGCGCAATGACTTACATGTAACTGGGATATGACTTAAAAGCTTTCTTGCCTGGAAGAAAAAAAGGCCTCTAATTGGCACGGTTTGTTTTCACATGCTTAGAACTGAACGTTCGACATGATCGTCTATTGCGCAAGAAGCAATTGTTTCGTTCGTAGCACATTTGCGTCAGCGGCGTTTATTACAAAACAGAAGAGTCTGGGGTGGAGTAAAACTGAACATTCGAGTTCGTGGAATCCATTGAGAGAAAGGACGAATTAAACATACACAGATGAAAGGAACACAATGTAACTTTATTATTTAGTGCCTGGTTGTGTTATTTCTACATTACTTTTATTTTCATTGCTTGAAGCTACTGTTTAACGTCTTACTAGTTCAAGTACGGAAGTATGGTGAGGTTAGGAAGCAGGGAAGCAAGTCAGTCGCACTGTGCTTTGGGTTTTACTGCGCACAGGTGCGATTCACAAGATTCTTTAGGCGCACAACCAAAAATCCAGTCGCATATGCGACCAGTTAGTCGTTAACTTTGAGCTGTGATATTATAAAACCAATTTCGATATGCTACACAGGGTTATGATGAATCATGATACATGATACAACTGATTACACAAGGTTGTATATAATAAATTGTACAGATGTAAATACTAACGTACAGGTTATTCATCGCCCTATGTAAGGGAATTCAAGACAGTCTTGGATTCTGGATTCCAAGCTGCGGATTGTGGATTCCAGGTTCCGGGATTGCATGGTCTTTGTCAATAGAACTTGGATTCTGGATTCCAATATTTAGTGGGATTCCAGATTCCATTAAGCCAAATTTTCCCGGATTCCGGATTCCACAAGCAAATACCTGTCGCTTAAGTTTTATGTTTTCTGAACACTCTGCACTCAAGTAATTATAAGTCATTAGTAATCTCGCTTAAGGAAGCCTATTAATATAAGCTCCCAGCTTCTTTAGGCTTCCATGTCGCATTTAATTAACTTAATGTATTTTGATTAATACCTTTTTTTGTTATTTGAATTACAAAAATGAAATAAATAAACAAATAAATAAGAAAAGGGATTGTCTTTAGAGGTAACTTCGAGTTATGCTTGTCTAAATATATACGCCATATTGAATTGCTTGGATTTTATGTAAATTGTCAGGGCTCCTGAAATTGTATAAGGAGTCTATTCTCGCTGTAAAAATATGGAGTGGCGAATAGTCTACAGGCTTTTGGCCCAAAGATTTTTTGGGGGTCGGGCGACTTAGATTAATATGTTGGATGCCATCCACAAAAATGACCCCAGAAGCCTTTGCAACGACAGCTTGTACCCATTCTCCGAACATCCATTTTTTTAAAGTGGTGCAGGTGTTGTAGCATTTTCAAAAGAACCCCTCCGGTGCATACGAAATAAAAATAAAGGTACAAATTGTAGTTTTTTTTTTCGCTAACTACGCAAAGCGAGATTATCATTGAAAGACTTGCTCGGGGTTAAGAAATATAAATTTGTTTTTCAAGCGACTGAAGCTCTTTAGGCGAATTCGTTGTGAGGCCTTTGTTGATATTTCGGTTTGATTAGCATACCACTAGTTGACCTCACGCAAGGCGCAGCGTTTTGGCATATGCAAGTTAAATTAAAAATTTTAACCAGCCGTTAACTTTGTTATTGAAAACTATACAATTCCTGGGTGCAAAAACTCAGAAAGAGCCACTAGTACTTCGAAAAATTTCGAGAGTAAAACAAGATTCTGCACGGTATGTCGGTATGTGGTATATTTTGCTAAAATGTTTAGAGATAGCCGCGTATTTCACTATGATGTTTTAATTTCCGTAGGGACTATTTCATAGTTTGATCAGATATTGATAAGCATATCGTTATGAGGTAAAAATTGTAAACATTTCGATTCACTTTCATTATGCAATCGTTCAGTCGATCCGAACGAAGACCTCCGCTGTTGTCAGAGACTGAGTCGTTTTATATGGTTATTAGACATTAAGTTTCAAATGCCCCGCAGTAGTAATGACAAAAATATGACACCATGTTAAAAGCAAAATTCTTTTTGAGTTTAGATTTTTCCTGCTAAAAAATGCTCTATTAAATAAAATGTTTGTCAATTAAAGCACCAGGTTAAAATATTTAGCCATGTGTACATGTGTAATAGATGTTTACTTTTAATCGGAATGTTCACATTCTCGGTGTGTTCAGTCAATGTGCCCACCTCAAAGTTTTCCTGACAGCCTCTCTCAACTCTTCTACTCTCCAGAAATAAATAAAAGGATTCCAAGATGAATTCATGAAGGCCAGGGTACGAGTTATATCATAAGCAACCTCGACATTTCTGATGAAACCACAAGATAAATAGACGAAAAGAACGCATGTAAAAGGCATGTAAGAAATCATGTACAAAAAGGCTACGTATGCCATATTTATCACAGATTTCTTGAATCTTTGCATATCTATAGTCTGACTCTCTGTAAAAGCTTGGTCTTGTATTTTCCGAAAATGCCGAAGAACTTGTTTGAAGATTTTCCAGTAACAGATTAACAACATGAAAAAGGAACTTAATAATCCAAGAATGTTCACATAGAGAAATGGTGTGACAGTAGTTGTGGCAAATCTAGATAGGCTTAATATCGCCATTGTGATTACTAAATACATAATAAGAAAGGCGACCTTTTTTTTCGTAACCACGACATGGTATCTAAGGTGAAAATGCAATGCCAGGTACCGGTCACCTACGATAGACGAAACTAACGCACATGATAGTGCAGCTGAAAACCACGCAACCGTTTCAAAAATCACTCTATACAAGCAAGAGGAGGAGGCATGCCCGGACAGTAAAGCTATCTTGTAAGCCCCATAAAAAGGCTGTCCTATCAGCCCAGTGAGAAAATCTGCAAACGCAAGGCACCAGAGAAACAGATGGGATTGTGATCGAAGTTGACTCGTTTTCCAGAAAGTCAAGAGGATGATACCATTGCCCCAAATGGCGATGATAGCGCCGACCAAATTTATTACTGTTGTTATAACACTTTCAACGTAGAGAAGTCCTCCTGGTTCGTACTCGTTTAGCGGATCGAGAAAAAAGCACCTTGATGAAGACACAACAAAGGAGCTCTCGTTGCTGCTGTTGTTATAGTTTACAAAATACTCTTTGTCAATCATAACTTTATGGGTCGTAGAATGGTGGATTAAAAAGCCTGTATAGCTGGTGACACTGTCGCGCAGAATAGGGGGGAACTTGTAAGTTATATTATTCTATTTATTTTCAGTTTAACCTGTGGTTGAACTGTAACTATTAAAAGGTGTGCACTGATTGGTTCCTGCGAGGTCTGCAAATATAAATCGTTGTTGCATTAATATTAGCTGTTCTATATTAAATTTCTCTGAATCATCAGCCAGTAAAAGCATTTATTTAGTTGACCTTAATTTCACAGAGTGGCATAAAAACAATTCGCAAATGAATGCGTTTTTTGTGATGACGGAAATAACATGTTTTTAGACATATTTCGTACAATTTTCAGCGAGATAAATTTTTGTTCTCATTAGCGTTCATTCTGATTGTTCAAAATCCACCTGCCTTTAAACGGAAACTGAATTTCAACTCAGCTGGGTCAAGTCAGTTTCGTTTGACACTGACTTATTGGAATAGCGCGGTAGGAACCTTTGAAGGCATACTTTGCTTGCTTATACTTAACAATTTTGTATTACACGAAATGGTAAAAAATGGGTCATGGTAGAAAGACACAATGATTACAATAAAAACTAGCGCATAAGAACCTTTTACGCTTTTCCAACTTCGTCAAAAAGGGATCTGCGGGAAATGGTGGCTGCTTCGGTTCTTGAAAAGGTTCTTAATTATTTTTGTAAATGACAAATGGCCCGCTACCCAAATGAAAATTGAAGCGACCTCTTCCTTCTTAGTAATTATTACTAGTAATAAGTTAAACCTTCACAGTGTTAAATTTTGCTGGGGACGCGCTTAGTTCCGGTTTGAATTATATACCGAAAATTTGATTCTGCTGTAATATTGACATAACTCATGAGGGCCGCTGAGATCCCTTTTCCATTTAAGCTTAACGCATTCTAAATTCAATCTCATATACCGGTTTTTGTTTTAATTTATCGTTAAGTTCATCTTTCCTCTGCGATATTGTTTTGTTCTTGCAATAGTAAAGCTTGGTTGTGGATCATGGCTATATAAAATTATGACAAAGATCTGAAATATTGTTTTTTTTTTAATATACGCGATTTCGGGGTGAAAAATCGTGATTTTGCAGCAAGACATAATTTTGTAGTGAAGGGAAAAATTATAATTTCTAATTTCGTCACTTTTTAAGAAACTGATATCCTCCTATCCCTAATATTGTTATGAACATAACCCATTTATCTGAATATGCTTTTACTTTTACTCAAGACACAGTCATGTGTGTCTTGAGACACTGTCTTCATCACACATTATTGAGATCCTGTCAGGTTTTTTGGAATGAAATTAAAAGAGAGTTATTTCTCATTTCATCCTTACGCGCCCAAAGTTAAGGAATATTGACATTTGATCTGGCATACTATAACTGTTTATTCGATCAGTAATTGCTTTCCGGCAAGCCTAAATTTTTTCAGGCTTTCTTTTCGCAATTGCATTGAAAAGTTGCGTCGTTAACTACGACGATCTTCTTTACATTTATTTCTTTATTCTCCAGTTCAAATACATGAGATTCATACATTCATCAATTCAGCAAGTATTTTATTCAGTTTTATACTTCATCTCTTTACTTTCCTTATACGTGGGGAATTCAAGACAGTATAATTCCTCACCTGAATTTCATCCCCCGGCAGAAATCCCGCGGAGGCAATTCAACTTTTACTTATAAAATCACAGAGTGAGAGCGCTAGATAAAGATTAACGTTTTTCTTGATTAACCGAATATGAAGCTGCATATGAATTAAGTCTCAGCTGGATCTTATAATATGGAGTTGTAAATTACTTAAATTTTAGCGCAACATAATATTGTTGTTCACCATAAGGTTCATATAACGGGCGGATATTTAACTTGTTGAACTCAGTTGATGTTTACGAATATCAATATCAAAATAAGCTAATGAAATAACCAAGAAAAGAAAAAAAAATGAAATAAAATAAAATAAAGTAATAATAGCTGAATAAATACATAAATGCATAAATATATAAATAAAGTTTTTATTTTCGGATTTCTTTGAGATGTGGCGAATACTGGTAAGAAATATATTTCATTCGACCGTATTGGGGCAATACTAACAGGAAATATAGACTTTATTAGGCGTTTTATGATGCAATCCTTATCTAACCGCGCGTTTAAGGAGTTTCTACTGGTTCCACAATGAAAGCTACTGGGTTACCAGTAATTGTGCTACCCCTATAAACAGTCAAAGTCAAAAGTCAATCCGATAAATGTCAGAGAGAGAGTCTATTGTAGACCATTGTACATCACGAAAATGAATTGAGTCCGATCGACTAATTGAATCATCTGTCGAACTTGGGTCGAACTTGGTACTTGAAAAGTTCGATTTTTGGACTGGGCCTTAGTCTAGTTGCTCTGCATCAAGTGGTTAGCTTTTTGTTGGAGCTTCTTTTAATATCAAAATGCTTGATGGTGTCGGTCTTCTGTCATTACTAATTTGTTGAAAAATTTTTTTTATAGAAGTGCGTCGAAAAAGGATATTTTCCTGAAAGGGTTATCACTAAATATAAGACCGGCTAACTGACGGCTTCACCCTTCAAGATGAGTCAACAGAATTTTTTAAAAGATCAAAGCATTTTCCCTTTGATTATCACTTTGTTCATTCTTATAACTCTTTCTCTTACAAATGATAATTTATACATGGTTTTAGCGGTGAAATTTGATGTTGGTCACTCTTGGAACTTAAAAAATACGAAAACAAAATGAAAATACGAGCAGGTGCAAAAGGAAACCAAGAACAAAACGATGACGAGGAGAAGTATCCATCCCAAGACAAATTATGCTCAAAGGGTTAACTCTTTACTCGTGCATAAAAATTATCGATGACCAGGCAAAAACGCATAAGCACGTGTATCACAAAACGTGGACAAATGTTTTTATCAGTGAATTGTCATCAGTAATTGTTAATGTACCATACGAGTGCTTTCACGTTCTAATTAATATTCATGTAAGCCAAAGATGTTCATATCAAGGAGTTTATTGACTGTTACCCTTCTGTACGTACTTCGTACATATTCCTACTTTATCAAGTTGAAATATCCCGTAAACCTTTCTAAAGGATGCTTCAAGTCTAATTCGTCATTTGATGGTAGAAATGACACAAAATGATCGTCATATATAAAATAGGCAACCACGTTTGAATACCGAAGTAAGTAGGGGAGGGCCAATATAATGGAATAATAGGCTGTCAAGGGTATGGTTTTCGTAAAATTCAGTCTGTGTATAAAAATCAGAGGAGTTTTGGTCTAGAATGATAACATTATCATTGCTAAAAAGAATACCAAAAAAAGAATCGAACGGGGAATTGGAATTTCTGTCTCAAAGGCGGTATGGGATGGGTAGAGAAAATCTGCCGCTTTGAGGATGTGTTCTTATTAACATAACAAAACCAAAAAAAAATCCGTGTCAAATTCCTACAAGGCTTTGCCGGAACAATTTTAAGCCGTAGCGCTGCTTTGAGATGTGCTGTTATTCACATATTAAGTTAAGGAAAAAAATTTTGCAAATTCGACGAATGCCTTACCGGACAATAGCTATTTTTGCAAGGTCATTGTGAAAAATTGTTAATTTTGTAAATTTTTCATCCTGGAGATAAGGCAATTATTTCAGCCTCATTCTGATGCTTACTGAAAGGCGCACAAAGATAAATTGTGTTCCATGGCCCGTAGATACTTGGCACCCCTTCTATTAAAAGTTGTTCGAAATACCACAAACATTTAATTTTCCCGCCGGTCTGTAACAATAGTCTTTCTAAGCCACTGCATGGATACGCGCTTTTGATCATATTTGCATGGAAAAGGCGCGTTATAAATTTTTAATTATTATTAATTATTAATTATAATGGATGAGAGAGAGACGGTTTATGAAGACAATTTCATTCTAAAACTGTTTGGTCGCATTATGAGTATAACCAGGAGCCGATTACTTGGAGCCTTCATCTCCCATATCTTACGGAGGCTCCAAGTAATTGGCTCCTGGTATAACCCTTAATTACAAAACTCACAAATGTTTTGCCTGGGACTAGGCTCTGCAGTGGGTGAAAAAAGGCGAAAAATAAAAATTCCTGTTTTGTTTTGCTCTTTCCCCCCATTTCCTTTTTCCCCATTACGGACCCTCAGGTATCAGCAGACCATCGAATTTTTGAAGCAATCAAATAAATTGTTTATGATCTCCACCTGATTAGCTTCTGACGATTGCGATTCAAGCCAAAATCGGTTGGGGAAAAAAGAGGTAAGAAATAACTAGCCCATTCAGTGCAATTGTGAGAATGGCGTCAGTAGCGTGCAAGTATTTCATTCCTCGTTTTTAATTCATTATTTGCATTTGGTAACATAGAGGTACAGAGAGGTTAAGTCGCAGACGCGTGTAGTTTGCAGCAGAAGACAAGAACAAATAGTTTATCTAAAGAATGAAGAAGTATTACGAAAAACAACTGTAGGATTAGACTTGTCGTTGTGATGTTTGCACTAGCAGGCTTCAAATCATAATACGTTATGCAATCAAATGTAAATTATAAACTTATAATCTTGCATTCGATTCTTTCTTTTTTGGTTGTACCGTGATATAAAGCAATGATAAACCTACGGTAAATTGAAATAATTCTCCAACTTTCAATTTTCAATAATTCAGTTTTGATCGTTCAAGCATGCTATATAGTTCGGTTTGGCATGCATCTAGTGAACATCTAAGCGGAAGAAGCAACACCAAAAATTGCGGCTGTGAAGGTTGTAACGCTCTATTAACCAAAACTAACACGTGAAAAAATTGAGTCAATGCCAAGGAAGAAATTCCACTTTTAATTTAATCTAAGTGATGAATGAACTTTTTTTCTTGACAATTCATTCATAGGCCATTTATATTTCTTACGACACGTTTTTATTTTTGTAACCATTTCAACTAAACAACAACGAATAGTGATGAGTTTATTTGCTCACTGTATTCATTAAGTCAAGAGGTATACCTCATCACTTTCTTAACCGCTTCCCGCAACTCTTTTAATTTCCAGAAATAAATAAAAGGATTCCATGATGAATTCATAAATGCCACAGTGCGAGTCACATCATAAGCAACTTCTACACTGCTGGTGAAGCCACAAGACAAGTAAACACATAGGACGCATGTAAATGGCATGTAAGAAATTATATACAATAAAGCAACGTATGCCATGTTCCTCGAGGATTTTTTCAGTCGCTGTACATCTTTTCTCTTGCTCTCTCTAGAACCGTAATCTTGTATTTGCCGAAAATGTCGACGAACGTGCTTGTAGATTTTCCAATAACAAATTATTAAGGTAGAAAGTGAAAAGAGTATACCAGCGATGTTCACATAAAAAAATGGAGTGACGTCTGTCATGGCGAACCTTGAAAGGGATAGAATCGCCATATTGACCAGAAGAAATGCAATGAGAATGACGACCTTTTTTGTAGTTACCACAACATGGTACCTCATGTGATAATGTAAAGCAAGGTAACGCTCACTAATGATGGCTGCAACCAGTGCACAAGACAAAGCGGCAGAGAACCAAGCAACCGTCTCTAAAATAACTCTAAAAACGCACAAGGTAGAAACCTTTCCAGTTATGTAAGCTATCTTGTATGCGCCATAGAACGGCTGCACTACTGAACCAGTGACAAAATCTGCAAATGCCAGACACCAAAGAAATAGTTGAGATTGTGATCGAAGCTGTTTCGATTTCCAGAATGTTAACAGGATGATTCCATTGCCAAAAGAAGCGATAAAGGCGCCGATAAAGTTTATCACGGTTGTGACTATGCTTTCAATATAGAGAAGTCCTCCAGCTTCATAGTTGTTAAGTGAATCGAGGAAATAGCATCTTTGAGTAGACACGACAAGGGAACTTTCGTTCCTGCTAACGTTATTACTAAGAAAATCCTCGTTGACTATCATCGTTTTATGGATTTACAGTTAATCTTTCCAGAAGGAAGTGGCCTATGCCTTTTATAAGAAGTTAAATGAAACTGTATGCTAGTCAGTTTCGTTCTTTCGTCATATTTTCACCACAAGATACTGTGCAACTTTAAGCTATATATAAGGTTTACCGGATTGGTTCGTAAGCGGTTCAAATAACGAAATCAATCATTAAATATATTAGCCGGTAGCATTCAGTTTCAATGAATGGTTTATATATATAGATGTTCTGTGCTTTTATTAAATTACTCTTGGTATGAAAATATATTTGACATTGTTGTTGTCTCTTTTGCACCTCTTAGAAAGCCAGTGATCTATATCTTTTCTTTTACAATAATTACCCAAACGTTTTGATGATACCGAAAGAAAACGCTGTTTTTATTATTGACAAACTCAAGAAAAAGTCACCGCCTTTAAACGGAAACTGAACTTCAAGTCAGTTAAGTCAAGTTCGTCATTAATCCATGAGAATTTACCTTGGCTTATTGACTTTTTTTTTAATCAAGGACCGACGCATAAAAACGGTAATTAGCAACAAGATGTTTACAATTAAGATAACCAGAATGGAGCTATTTTGGTTATCGAGAAAGAACACCGATGATATTAACCCTTTTGTTTTTAAACATGACTAGGGCCTTCATGAAATACCCCTACACTGTTAGGGCTCTTAACCATAACCCGTCCGAGAAGAAATAATCCGTAAGGATATACTTTGAGGGGAAAAAATAATTTGGTTTTGAACTCTGTATCCACTACCACTTTGTATGCAAGCTTTATCGTGTTCGATAACCGTGACCGTGTCCTATATCGCGTTTCTTGCCGAAAATGGAAACCACGTTAGTCCCGACAGAACTTTTAAATGGAAGGCTCTTATGGTGTTAGCTTGTCAGTGCCATAGATTGGAGCTGTAGCGAAAAGTTAGTTTATTACAATGGCCGGATCTGCGAAAGGGCAAGATGAAGCGGATCCTGCGTTCTGATTGGCTACCAGAGCAGAAAGATGTGGCCCATATTTGGTTATTTCAGTCCCAGGAGAAAAAGTTCTCTTTTTGGCCATATAATAAGTCCTTTATTGACCAAGCCTGTTCGGTCATGATGACTGGACATTGACCTCGTTCTTTTTTCGCGTTTTTATTGCTCTTTACTTAGTCAGGCAGACAATAAAAACGCAAAAAAAGAACTTGGCCAATATCCAGCCATCCTGACGTCACGCTTGGCCAATAACGCATACCGGTCAGGAGCCTTACCCGGCACTCAAGGGAACAATATAATACGGAAAAATATCATTAACTTCGCTACTTGAACCTGTGGTTAATATTACTAGGGGAATTTGACAGCTAATGCGCTCGGCTAGCATACCTGTCCATGGACTTTTTCTATCTTTTAGGTAACTGCTATTTGCATTCAAAAACCTCGTTTTTTCTGCCGTTGAAGGTTTAGGGATGTCAGTATGTGATTGGTGGTGGCAAATCTACTCGCTTCTGGTTGCCCTCCTAATTATGTTTAAACGTTTTTTAGTCGAGATCCTTGTTTGTTTTTATCCAATATTCTCATGGTGAAACTGATAGAATTCTCACGGTGGTCTGATTTGTTGCTCCAAAAGTTTTTACTGGAATCACTTCCTGCCTTACTGCAAACGAGAAAATGACAAGCATAAAGGAAAACGCTGAAATTGGAAAGTATAGGGAAAGTCTTTTTACACACTATAGCATTTTATATTTTACGATTGCAAAGCCATTCCAAAACCACACGTACGTCGGCAAATTCAGGTGACACTTGAGGAAGATAATTGCTCCTCAACGAAATACTTCGGTTTCCGTTTTCCCTTTCCAGACTTTTACAGCTTTCATTGTATAAAGTAAGATTTTTTGCGGTCACTTACGTTGATGCGATTTACTTTTACCGAGCATACGCTATATCAAAACCTGTCAAACAGGACTATTGACGACCGTAAAACCTAGCTGACAAATACATCTGACTGGATTTGCTAAAACATGGCTACAGAAATTTCGCTCACATACCTTTACCGAGTTTTGTAGTAGTTGAGCTGTAGTTTATTATTATTCTATATTTATTTACTTTTTACCGAATATTTATTGAATACGCCGCCGTATTCAAAAGGATTTGGCGCTTTCATAGCGAATCGGTGCTCGGTTCTTTGATGCGGGAGAGATTGGTGAGTTGAGACTGCACACAGTATCCTGACTTGGTTCGCATTTTATCAGTGATTTTGTAGGAAAACAACACAGAACAAACAACGAGCCGACTGTATAAAATGGCCAGGTTACACAGAAAAAGTAACAACAAACTCAAGTTTACGAAAGGAAAATTTATTTCTATATTTATGCATATGTTTCTCATTTTTTTAAACATCTACCTTTCATACAAAGTCTACCAATCGTTCGTAATATGCGAACGTTCGTTTAGTTCGAAACACGCGGTAATTTATGCACCGAGCTTGGGCCGCCTGTGGGTAGAACAATGAAAAATGATGGAAGATTTCACCCGTTTTGCGAAGAAGAAATAGGCAAACTACTGCTAAAAACATAGCAAGAACAGCAAAAATACAGCTCGACGGACGACATATGCTATTTGGAGATTATTTACAGAACTAAACATCCCTTTATCTCCTAAACTTGCGAATAAAAAGGCAATTGAATATGAATTTAACATCGATGGAAATAAGCATGTTTTAGCTTGTTTTCAAACTAGGAATTATTTTGAATAAATAATAAAACAATTATTGAATTTGGCTTTTCCATCATCTGAAGAATTATGCAGATCTCGGGAGGGTGTTATCCGCCTTTTTTCTAATCTGCCTAATAACTGTTAACTGAGTATTATAGCCAGAGTTATTTGTGATAATTAAGCGACCATCATCTTACGACTCTCTTAAGGATACTAAAATATAACCGCTAGTATTGCCATGCTCGCAAAAGTACGCAATAATGAAAATCGGGGAACAAAGAAACCGCTGCTTAATAAACAAAACTGCTATTTTCTTACCGTTGTTGACATTTGTGCTATCCATCTTAACCAATGCTATTTATCGCGTTCGTAAATCGATTAAGCTGTTTAAATAAGAAAGAAATTAAATTTCACAACGAGTGGTTACTAGTAGGGCTTTCAATCAATGTTGAGGGATCACCGCGCTTCAAAACCTTTTTGACTGCTTCTCTCAACTCGTGTATTTTCCAGAAATATAGAAACGGGTTCCACGAAGAATTCATAAAAGCCATGGTACGAGTGATATCATAAGCAGCCTCGACATTTGCGGTAAAGCCATGGCACAGATAAGCAAATAGAACAGAGGTAAACGGAATGTACGAAATCATGTACAAAACAGTAACGTATGCCATGTTAATCACTGATTTCTTAAATCGCTGCATATCCATGGCTGCTTGACCGCTCCCTCTTGTTGAATTGTGGTCTCTTATTTGCTGAAAATGTCGGCGAACCACTTTGTAGATTTTCCAGTAACAGATTAATAAAGTCAAAAGGCTTAACAGCAATCCACAAACGTTGATGTACAAAAATGGCGCTACATTTGTCGTAGTGAACCTCGACAGACTTAAAATCGCAGTTACGACGAGCAGATATACGATGTAAAGCACGATCTTGTCCTTGGTTATCACATCATGATATCGCATGTGATAATGCAAAGCCAGGTAACGCTCACCAATGATGGATGAAACCAGTGAACAGGACAACGCTGCTGAAAACCAAGCAACCGTCTCAAAAATCACTCTCAGTACGCAAGAAGCAGAAGAATGGCCGACCATGTAAGCTATTTTGTAGGCTCCATAAAACGGCTGTACTATCAACCCAGTGAGAAAGTCTGCAAATGCCAAGCACCAGATAAACAGTTGGGATTGCGATCGAAGCTGATTCGATTTCCAAAACGTTAAGAGGATGACGACATTGCCCGAGATGGCTATAATAGCGCCGATAAAATTTACCACCATAGTGACAACGCTTTCAACGTAGAGAAGTTCTCCGAAATCGTAGTTGTTCAGTTGCTCAAGAAAAAAACATCTTTGGTTAGATACTGCAAAGAAGCTTTCCTTACCGCTAAAGTTATTCTTAACATAATTTTCGTCGACCATCATAGTTTTCTTGGTCTATTAGGAAACGGTTTTAAAATGAAGTTTTTTCATGGACAATTATGATATAGAAGACAGCTTAAAAGCAAAGCAACCAAATAGTGAAAGCAGAACGCAGCAGCTGCCGTGCATGTCGACTTGATTTGATCTCTGACAATGCCACTGACTGGCCAATAGGTCAAATTTCGAATTTATAATTCTGTTTATTCATAGCATTGTTCCCTTGTTACGCGGTCAGTGTTAACACTGAACCAGTTGTTATCCGTAAGTAAATAAACTCGGAGGAGCACATTTTGGAAATTAGTAAATTGCAGAGTCTATTCAAACAGTCGCCAATCATGACACTCCCTAGCCAAGCAATATCCCTTCATGTTTACCGCCAACAATTACGTGGTCTTTTTATACACTTAACCCATTTTATAAACCGGATGACGCGAACTTGTTATTCAGCGTACAGTTAAGCAATAGAAAACGTTTTCCGTGTTTGCATAGCTTGATATAAACACGAGAGGGGTTGGGAAAATTCGGGACAGTTATGCAAACCCGAGACGAAGTCGCCTCGAGTGTTTATATCAGGCTATGCAAACACAGGAAAAACGTTTTCTATTGCTTTTATAAAATAAATTTCCGAGAAAAACGCAAAACTCTTTGTATGGCACTGATTAAAAGAGAAATTCTTACCAGTCGCAAAATCTTGTCCACGAAGTCTTGCGCGCGTAATCAGTTCTTGTTTTGCAAAAAGATGCCTTCCAAAATACGGACTTTTCTCGCTTAAAATGTCAGCTTAAGCGAAAAAAAAAATTGACACACCTTCTTTTGTAACGATTTTCCAAGTTTTAAACTCGAAAACTTTTTCAAATTCGTGCTTGCGTGATTAGCGCGCGAAAAGCAAAACATCTTGACGCCACAACCACGCTTACATACTCTCATGCAAACACTCCTCTCGGCCAATCAGAGCGCGCGTACTATCTTAGTTATTTTGTAATAATGACTGTTGATGATCATTGGTATGTTTAATTCGCGTACATGTTTTATCTTACCTCTGGGATAGGGTGAGGATTTTTTAACATCTATAGCTAGTGTAAAATAGGGTTGCAAAGTGCCGTAGAAAATTGACCACTCCAGAAAATGCCATAACATACCATAGTGCTGCTCTTTGTTTGTCACCCCAAAGTTTTGCATAAGCATTGTCTGCTGTGTAAATTGGCTGCCACCGACGACTATCGTGTCTTAACAGCTTTATAGTATAAAATTATATTTCGGGACTGTCCACTTAACTCTATAAAATAAAAGTGGTGTAGGTGGGCAAATAGGTCATTTTGCTTGGGAGATTGCTATTTATTGGGTGTAAGATTTTAGAGGTTGCTTTTTTCTTGCACTGTTTGCAAATTGTTTTTTTTCTCTAAAATCACCCAGCCCCACCCCTAAAGGCTAGTCATATGATTCTCACCTAAACTTAACTGATTTGTGGATTACAAGTTTCTTGTTTGCTTTAAATTATAGATTAAATAACTGAAGCGACGCTTTTAGCCCTGGCTAAATCTATATATTGTTATTGGCAAATTTTAAGCGGCATGCGCCCCTCTAAAGAGGTCCTAGAATACGACCCGGGCTACTGAGAGATCAGGACTAAGTCTTCGGGTCAAAGCAAAAAAATGATGATAAAACAGTAATAATAAATAAATAAACGAAAGAAATTTTGGTAAAATAATCCGAATTGTGTTATCACAGTCTACCAAAGCTGTAGGAATATCATAAAAGAAGTACACATAGAACAGAACGCGAGACAAACAATATTTTTTAATTAGTATGAAACCCTTTCTTTACACATTTACAAAACTAATAAGGCAGTGTTCCTATATCATCAAGTCTTAGAAGGAATTAATGCTTCGAATAAAAGATTTTAACCAAGCTTAATTGTTTTGTCATACTGAAGTGTGTTAAAAGGATTAAACAGCTGCATCAAAACCTCAATTTTCAATTCCACTTTTCTTAAAGCGAGCAGGAAAAGGTATGATGATGCTCATGGTAAGAACTTAGCCCTTTTGAGCTTTTCAGATATTCACGTGTCGCTATTATACGCAGAATACTGAAGCCTCCCACGCAGACATATCGAATGATATAACTGAGGAAATTGTTCTATCAGAGTTCTAAGAAGTCTAAGGGCTTCATCTTTTATGAGACTTTATCTGACCAATTCTGGAATCTAACGCAAAAGGTCCAAAGTACACTTCCTACATTTGAAGGTGCCTTGTGACTGGTCTACGTTTTGACCGCTCGTTTCAGAACACAGCCGTAGGGCAGGACTTGTGACGAGGCCATAAAAGCATCTGTGCGGGAGGCCAGCAGAATACGTATTGTTATACTGCATGTGATTTCAACCAAGCGTTGAGACATTGAGTTCGTTTAAGCCAAGGGTTTTACTTAAAGCTCCTCAGTAAATGGATGAGACGGTACCGTCGGTGTCATTGCTCTACACCAACAGGTGCAGACCACCAGAATGGTTGTATTCCGAAGTTTATAAAAAAGTGTGATGAAGTAAGCTCATTCTCTCTTGGATGAAGCTTATAGACTAAATCCAAAAAAAGTAAAATAAAAATGCTTTGCTAACCCAAGATCAAAATTGAAGAGAAAATCTCTCCTGAAATATTAATATTGACAAAAAGAAAATTAAAGGAGTTGTCATTCTTGGAACGAGTGTATTTTAAGTTAAAGGTGCCACAGGTCATGACAAACTGCGACGTAAATTTTTAGATCAAGGGAGAGAATATAGTATTTCCATTCCCTATAAGGGATAGCCTGGGTACCAGAGGCTTTTTCTCGCGTTTTTCTTGCTGTTCAGTATAACGAATTGACTCCTCGACCGGAAATGGAAACTGCGCATGGTACTGAGGTTCCTGACATGCAGTGTTGTACCCAATTCAAATTCCTGAGGTCATTTGCATTATAATGATTCACCCTAAATGATCCAAACAAAACGTTTTATTCCCAAAGGGTTTGAATTGGGTACCCAGTGCTCACTCAATCTGAGTCAAGGCAATATCAAAAATAAAAATTGCTACTCAGTCTAGTTTAATTTGCCACAGGTTTAAAAGAAATGTATTTTCGAAACATCACTTGGAAATAACAAATGATTTAACTGAGTGGATGTGACCCTCTTCAGAGAAGAGCTTCTGACTTAGTGTAAAGAGGTGCAACCGATCATGAATACATCTACGTACGTGGAGGCTCAATACAGACAGTCAGGTCAATTCTACTTAAAAGCTTCCTGACCGGACGATAAAGCACTTGCATAGTGTACACTTTTGAATAACGAAAAGTATACCTATCGACCGGGTTCTAGTGGGTAGTAAAAAGCTTTTGCAAATGGAACTAAAAATAATGCATTTGTTTCAGTACGTGTGATTTCAACCTAGCATCGTTTCCGAGAGGTACTTACTCTCTTCGTTTTCTACTTTAACCCGATCTGATCGTATCATTGTAACACCAAGAGACAGGGAAAAAACATTTTGATGTGAAAAGCTAAAAAAAACTTGAAATACGATCCTTGAGGTAAACTGAATCGTTACTTATATGTAGGAATAAAATATAGGAATATTCCGAAAAAATTATCAGTTTTACACCGCTGGAAAATCCGAAATAGAAATAACCTCACTTTCAGCTTTACGTTTTATGCACCTGATATGCAGCTATGAATTAAATTTTTAATTTAGTCCATCGGAGGTTCAATCTCATATAAAAATATCACTGAAAAACAGAAATTGCTGCCTTAACAAACATATAAATTGACCAATGCCGTTTAGGTAAATTTGACTCAAGTTTTTTTTATAATGCACAATTAATGAAACCATGTCATGACATGAAAGAAGAACAACCTTCTGAATGTTATCCACCAAATGATTATGAAAACAGAAACTTTCTTCGGTTTTGTTTTCCTTGACAAATACATTAACTAACGCATTAGTGCAATTCCTGCAAGAAAAGATTTTGAGGTGAAATTATTGCCATACAACAACAAAAATAACAACAAATAAAACTTTTAATTATTCACACATAGAGGGAAAATACAATTGCCGAGCAATTTAGCACAAAACACTATTCGAGGCAGCTGGAAAAAGGATAAAATAAATATGAGTCACAAAAAAAAAAACAGTAGCTGATCTGTCGAGTTAAAAATATAAAATGTAATTTTATCTCTGGGTCAGTGGAAGATCTAAAAAAGTAATATCATGGTGTTATTGACAGTTTTGGGGAATAGCATATGAAGTAAGCAACTAATACACCGATTGAGATGCGATCATCATCCCTATGTTCTAACTTATTCTTAGTTGAACGGAACTAACCGCGCGAACAAAGATTAATTATGTGTAATCAAATGGTGACGAGTGAAATTAGGGAATAATTTCACGCGCGTTTTGTCCAAATCCTAAAATTATTAGGATTTGGACAAAACGCAAGTGAAATTATTCCCTAATTTCACGAGTGTACCATTTGATTACTTATTAATATCATGGGTGACTAATTACGTTAGCAATCTTGGATTTTTGATATGTCTATCCTGGATCGTATCGATCGAGAACTCCACTCTCTGGAATGTTTAGACCTTAAATTTGGCTTATGAAGTTCAGAATTTTTCAGACTTTTTCGGAAAAATTCCTGTTAGAGTCCTTCTTGTTGTTCTCTTATGTGTTAAGGTTTTCTAAAGCGTCTTTTTGTGCCCTGACATCTTCATTCACGGCATTTTAAAACTTTGTCGCCATCTTGACACTGAGACGTACGGAAGGGTTGCCATGGTAATTTTGTAATTTCACATGTGAAATTACAAATTAACGCTGAAATTTCGCGCCAAAATTAAGGAGTAATTCGTCACCTATGATATTAGGAGAGGAAAGTTGTTAGCTGATGTAGTTAAAAAAACAAACATACAATTTTATAGCCAAACCGACTCTCAAAGAGGCAGGTCAAGGAAAAGAAAATATTGTCAATGATCTGTTATCTGAGATCCT